AACTTTCATTTTCCTGTTTATATCTTTTACTTCACGAATCATTACAACTAGATAAATCATCATCAAATTGAGCATTTGAATTTGCTATAATATAATTCCATTACTCAATACTTTCAGTTTTCATAAACAAAGAGAAAAGAACAAATGCGTTTAAATTGAGCATCACCTTTCTTTTGCTAATTTCTTCCCATGTTTAGTGGTTTTCGGTTGATATTTTGTGCTTAAACTCTAATTTACGAGTTTTTGAATATTTTACTAATATTTTAATGGGTAACTGGTGATCAGGTCATGCAACTCAAAGGCCTTGAATTCAATATTTCAATTGAATTCAACAGTTATAAACAGTCAGTGTTCTTCGGAACAAATTAATATTATCCGACTGAGTACAATCCGACATACCAAACGAGCCCTTAGTGCTTACGCATACCCAAGAAAAACTGCATAGATAAGGCAACTTTTGAGTGACTTGACTCTGTTCAAATTTGAGCTACTTTAGCTTTATCCAGTACCACCCAATTCTAAAACTGCTCCAACATTACATTCTTTTTTAATTTAAATAAACTATATTGCATATTGAACAAATTTACGCAACCATACAGTCCTGAAACAAAAAAATTCTAAATCAAAACGAGACGTTTCTCAAACCAAACCATATCATGATCAGTATCGAGATCAAAAAACATACCAAACTATGAGCTATTGCAAGTACAGGGCACATGAGACAATGATGCACTTTGGAACCATGAAAAGATCTCAATGCAATTTTCATATATTACACCAAGCAGAGATGAATTCAAACCTCCCTTGGTGAACTAATTATGTGTCGACACAAGAGAAATGAAGTTAAAACGACACCTTTTTTCCCCTCCTTATTGTAACAATGTTGAGAAGTTATGATCACCTTTGATAAATTGAATGACTAGAAGTCAGTCATTAGAAAACAATATATATGGTATGAGTCAAGCTAATCTTACCATACAACTCACGTACTTTTCCTAATCAATGTAGCACTACGACTTATTATGAAAGATTGTTAGTTCGCTATTTTATCCTTATTTAATAATAATTTATTCTCACTTCTTCCTTTTTATTAACTAATAAGGATATTTTGTAGAATTTTGTATACAAGATGGATAATTATTTTTGAAGTCAAAACCTTCTATGACCACAAATTAATTATAAAAAAAAATTAAAGTAGAAATACACACTTCTTTGAAATGAGCAATTCAACCATAAGCCGAAAATGTATGAATATTCTAGGGCCCGTTTAGTGAGTTGGATTATGTAGTTTGATAGGATTCATAATCCTATTCAAATGTTTGGTGGCCTAAAAACAACATGGATTGGATTATGTCGAATCCTACTAAAGCCAAATGTAGTAGGATTATGAATCCTACCAAAAGGTGGAGATTAAGTTGGATTGAATTATATCCAATCCTACTAAGCCGAATTAATCCAACCCTTTAATCATCTGTAGTACCAAACACATCATTGAATTAGTGTTATCATTTTCAATCCAATGTAATCCATTGCAATCCAATTTTACCTTATAATTCAATCCAATACCAGTCACCAAACATGGCCTAGTGTATAGTATTATTGTCGCTTCATCAATTTCGGCACAATTATTGATAAGGTTCAGACCTTTCCTTCACCGTTGTATATAGCATGAGATCAAGAATAAAAATATTGATGGTAATGTCAAGATCAATGAAAGATCTTCCTTCACAAAAAGCTCCAATAGCCAACATTATTTTCATAACTATCAAAAATAAGTTTAAAAGCTCATCAGCTTCTAGCCATTTCACAGGTTCCGCACATTGTTAGGCCATAATTAACTTGGATGCAATGTAACGAGTTCTTTGATAAAGCAAGCGCTGTCAATGATGTTTTGAAAGAATGATCACTCAATGAGGCCCAATCCATGTCTCGCTTACACGACCAAGGTGACGAAGGACCTGTAATGAAGATGCACAAGGATTCAATTTTATTCACTCAAGTAATTGAACTTAAGTAACAAGGGATGTAAGAGAAATGCCATTGCAAAACCTTGCACTTGTCAAGCCATCATCTTCCAAGTGGATATAGCACAGAAACTCTTTCTGTTTAATCATTTATTCAGAACGGATGATCTGAACTTAAGACCTCTTTACTAGAAGAGGATCTTTGTTGATGCCAACTTCATTGTCTTCCACAATGAAGGAAATTGAGCACACAATATGGGAAGCCTGTAATCAAATTTCTTCTCTACTATCAAACCTTTATTATTATACGTCAGAGGAAAAACTTTTCCATTGTCAATTATATTTTGTTATTCTTTAGTCACAGGACAAACTATATGAATTTCTCTATATCAAAATTTAGTTCATAAAAAAAAATAATAATAATCCATCCCTGAAATCTTAATTCTTTTGGGAAGGAAGCTTTCATCCACAAATCCCAGATTTCATAGGTAGTGAAAAATATCTTAATTCTTTTGGGAATGAAGCATTTAATTATATGGAGCCACTAAGAGTCATTTCTCTCTCCTCAGATTTAGGAGCTCCTAGAGGTCTCCCTATGTTAGGAGTTGGATAAGAAGCATGGTGGGAGGTGGGTTTTCCCACTTCCTCCCTAAATTTTATCTAAGAAGGTGGTTTAGAGAATCCATTGTGGATGTTCTAAGAACAAAACATTGATTTATTTGGCTTACTTACAATTAAATTTATAGTTTGATTAGATTAATAAAGTGGAAAACAAAGTACAATAAGGATTCGATTCCTTGTTATTCAAGCATTAGCCAGCAAATCCTAATTTGATGAACTTAAATTTCTTAATCTTTTCCTAAAAGGATTCCGATGATCAATAGCTATCTTACTAGCTTATAAATAACATGAGAGCCAGGTTGTTTTTTCAATCATAATTAATGAATAGTAATTACTTTTTTTTCATATCAGAGAGAATTTACAATGTGTGCTTGTCGAGAAGCACTTGCTCCAAGAAGAAAAAGAATGACAATAGGGCAAAGACTAAGAAGCATCCATGCGCTCATCTTGTTATCCTTCCTGAGAATGACGTTTGTTGCAATGATGTGTTTAATTTTTGGATTAATTCACTCTTTGATTTTTACCTAATGATGAGCAAGGTATCGGCTATTGCATCAGCTGGTCTAGTTTTGTTTTCAGTTTTCAGCTTTGGTTAGGTTTGTTGGACCTTTATATTGTTTCTCACTTTTTCAGCTTTGAGCTGGTTGGTTGTACATTTTTTGGGCTGCCTCTTGGTTTGTTTGGTTTTAATAAATTTACTTTTTATTTATTATTACTTTTTAATTGAAAGACATTTGTGGCCTTTCTCATCCTAAGGTTAGAGCCATTATCGTATAATACTGAAATACTGTTATGTAATATAACTTGTGATAATACAAGTGAATTAATTACCCATAAATTTATATCCGGTAGAAATACTTGGTTCTATCCATAGGTTATAAATTCATAACTCCAACTCCACCACTTACGCTTTTTTTAATAAAGAAGAAGAAAAGGAAAATAAAAATAAAAAATAAAATTCACCGATTTTGATAAAAGGTTGTTTTCTAGGGAAAAAAAATTATGATTTGGTGTTTTCTTCTAAACTTATTCTTATAAAATCGCCACTGGTGGAGACTGATTTCCTATGGGGTAGGCAATGGACAAAGGAATACATGGGAAAATCGTATATCGATATTTGTAAATTGTAACTTATAAGAGAAACAGTAATAAAATGTGTGCAAAAAATTTCAATTGGAAAATAAATAGGATTTATTTTACAAAAATATTTACAACGTGAAATAAAGAAATTTGTCTCCATATACATTTCAGTTCAGTAGTGTAAACCTAGAAGTGGATCCACGGCCATGAAATATGTCATGTCATGTAGAAAACTTTTGTACAGAACAATGACACCCAAAGAAATGTCATTTCATGTAGAAAACTTTTGTGTGACAAGCTTTCTCCAATATCTCACCCAACTAACTAAAATAGTCCAGTTATTTTTTTCTCTCCAACTTCTCATTGAAGAAAAACTAATTATGTTACATGAGAGAAATGAAGTTAAAACAACACCCTTTTTTCCCCTCCTTGTTACAATGTTGAGAAGTTATGATCACCTTTTGGTTCATTTGTTTATTAAGTATGAATTGTATTAAATTGAATGACTTAAGTCATAGTAATTAGAAAACAATGAATATGATATGAGTCATGCTAATCTTACCATAAAAGTCATGTATCTAACTTTTTATTAATTTATGGTGACTTTGTAAAGAGGAACCCGCTATAAACTCTCACACTATGTAAAGACGCTCCCTCTATACAATATATGTATTTATAAGGGAAACGATAAATACTTACGTTGTAAAGACACATACTCAAGTCAGGAGGTCCCAAATACCGACTTTTGATAACTAGAGTGCAATGCATGTGTGGTGATGTAAAATTACATCCTTTATTTTGTGTTTACTTTTTATTTTTCATTTTTCCTTTTCATGTAGTTTTTCTTTTTCTTTATTATATAATTTTAGCTCATTCTATTTTATAATTTGTTTCATCTTGCTTTTATTTCCAGTTTGAAAAGTTATTATCTTTTCTTCTTTTTTTTTCGGTTACTAAAAACATAAATAAGTAAAGTTGAATACATCGATATGATTTTAACCGCGATGATTACATTGTTGATTGTCTTTATAATTTTTCATAATAGGTTGATAGGTTTAAAATTGCTTACTTTAGGCCTTGAATTCTTTGTAGATTAGTTCATATAAGTTGTGTTTTGGTGGATTGGTTAATATAGTTAATAACAATATGATGTATTGGTTAATATGTGTTTTGTAATGTAGTTTTTTTAATGAATTATGAATGATAATATTATTGGTATATTTTGACGGGGTTTTTTGTCTAAAAAAATTTGTGAGCTTTTATATGTCGACCCTCAATTGGAATATTCCTGGATCCACCACTATTTAAGTCGTAATTAAACAATTAAGCAGAGAGTTTATAAGAAATTGTAGCTAACCTTCCTTATAATCCGAAATGAAACTACACATAATCTTCTTATTTTCAAAGATACCTCATTCTCCAACTGTAATAATACAACAACAAACATAAACACACATATATAATATATAGAAAATTATATATATATATATATAATAATCATAGATGAGGCAGTGACGGTTTTTGGGAGTTGTTGCTGTAGCTGCATTTTCCACTATCCCTGGGCTTGAAGTTGAATCCATTTTCCTGTCAAGGGCTTGTCGAGGACAAGACCAAGGCTTGCGACCTTCATGACCATGACACTACTAGGCGCATTGGAAGTCTGTTGGGACAGACTTACCACAGTAATTCAAAAGCAAGCTTAAGGAGACTGGCACATTAAGATTGATGCCCAAAACGTTGGCCTTAATGGCAGTGCAAAGGCACACAGCAGCATCAACATCAACAAGACCCGCAATGAGGCTACAGCAAGGGGTCTTTCGTGGGGTCCCCACAACAAGGTGCACCAAGTCATTCAACAAATCTCCACATACCCCTAGCTTAAGGGTGTCCTTAGGGCAAGAGGCTTTAGGGCTAGGGCTTGGGCTTGGCGTTGGCGTTGGTGTTGGTGTTGGCGTTGCCATTGGCGTTGGGGTTGGGGTTGGGGTTGGGGTTGGAGTCAGGGTTGGAGGATATTGTGTTGGCGTTGGGGTGGGGGTAGGCGTTGGGGTTGGGGTTGGAGTCAAGGTTGGAGGATATTGTGTTGGCGTTGGGGTGGGGGTAGGCGTTGGGGTTGGGGTTGGAGTCAAGGTTGGAGGATATTGTGTTGGCGTTGGGGTGGGGGTAGGCGTTGGGGTTGGGGTTGGAGTCAAGGTTGGAGGATATTGTGTTGGCGTTGGGGTGGGGGTAGGCGTTGGGGTTGGGGTTGGAGTCAAGGTTGGAGGATATTGTGTTGGCGTTGGGGTGGGGGTAGGCGTTGGGGTTGGGGTTGGAGTCAAGGTTGGAGGATATTGTGTTGGCGTTGGGGTGGGGGTAGGCGTTGGGGTTGGGGTTGGAGTCAAGGTTGGAGGATATTGTGTTGGCGTTGGGGTGGGGGTAGGCGTTGGGGTTGGGGTTGGAGTCAAGGTTGGAGGATATTGTGTTGGCGTTGGGGTGGGGGTAGGCGTTGGGGTTGGGGTTGGAGTCAAGGTTGGAGGATATTGTGTTGGCGTTGGGGTGGGGGTAGGCGTTGGGGTTGGGGTTGGAGTCAAGGTTGGAGGATATTGTGTTGGCGTTGGGGTGGGGGTAGGCGTTGGGGTTGGGGTTGGAGTCAAGGTTGGAGGATATTGTGTTGGCGTTGGGGTGGGGGTAGGCGTTGGGGTTGGGGTTGGAGTCAAGGTTGGAGGATATTGTGTTGGCGTTGGGGTTGGGGTAGGCGTTGGTGTTGGGGTTGGGGGAGGGCATTTTGGGCTTGGAGTTGGGGGAGGGGGTTTTGGGATTGGGGGAGGGCAGGGGGGAGGGTGTTTTGGTTTTGGGGTTGAAGGGGGAGGGTGTTTTGGGGATTTTGGTGGTGTTGGTGGACAATTAGGGACATGATCATTTGAACTGACCGTAGTGAAAAACATAAGGGTAAGGGAGAGAAGAAGAGCAAAAGTTGCAAATGCATTAGGAGAAGCCATTTTAGAACTAAATTCCCCTCAGGCAATGAAGTGGCTGATTGAAATATACTTGCGTTAACTTGTAGATGGAGGTGGTGGATATAGTGAACACAATTAGGGTATTTATAGACTTTCTTTTTCTCTGACCAAAAAAAAAAAAAAGACTTTCTTTTTCTGAAAAAATATATATATATATAAATTCGTCAAAGACACCCCATGTGTGCGACAGCGTACACTGTTCTGGGTAGCAATAAGCCAAAACAAAGGACTCCCGTGTTCTTATTACGCAAAGAAGGTTTACACATCTTGGTTGTGTCCTTATTTTGCCGAAATACTTCCAAGAATAATCAAGGTTCTCCTTCTACTAAAGAGAGTTACCAGTCGACATCGATTTTGAGTGTGTAGATAGCTCTCTATCACTGAACGACGAGCCTCTACTAGTAACTAGTACGAGATATCACTTTGACAACATGAAGCACCCATCTTGGTTGTGTAGATAGATGCTCTTTACCAAATTCATAGTGAGAGATATCACTCTCACAACAACGAGTAATTATGTAATGAAAACTAGTAAACTACCAAATGTGTCGACCTAATAACAATCAAACTGGAACCTGCCGTTCTACTTGCTCACTGGCTTCACACCCAGAAGATATAAATGGCTCTAATAATTATAAATTTAGAAAAACTTCTCCACTGTCAATATTTTGTTTCTTTTTTTTTTTTTTTTTTGGGGGTGAAAATATTTTGTTATTCTTTAGTCACAAGACAAACAATATGAATTTATCTATATCAAAATTTAATTATTATATTTCATTAAAAAAAAAATACGATCCAGCCATGAAATCTTAATTCTTTTGGGAAGGAAGCTTTCATGCACTAATCCCAGATTTCTAGGAAGCTTTAATTATTATGACTTTTGAGTGGGGCAAGGGAATAAATTAAAATGAAGCCTTTTCCCTTAATCATAGTTTAACAAGAAAGAATTTTTTTTGTTTTGCACATGTATGTATTTTCTTTTTGACTTAATTATAGACTTAAAACAAATATTTATAATATTATATATATAGATTAAAAATATATATATATATATATATATTTGGGGCCCTAGGCCATGGTCCTCGCGGCCCAGGCTCAGGGGTAGTGACAAATATTTGATGCGTAAAGATATGAAAAAGCAACTTATCAGACAAAAACAAGACAAAATACCTCAATCAAAAGGTCCATTATTTAGCCAAATAATGTCGACCAGAGGTTGAGCTCAATCGTCATCATGATCTATATTACAACGAAGAACGAGACAAGAGAATTTGTTCATATGTGAGGTGAAACGATAGATAAGATGTGCTTCATTTAATGCAGTTACTTTTCTTGTTTGGATAACCAAAAAAAAAAGTGCAGTAAAAATTCACCTCACATATGAACAAATTACATGGCGAAAGGCACAAGTGGGCATGATTCTCATAAACATGTGGGACATCAAAAACGCGTTTAGGTTAACGTATTTATAGATAAGAACAAAACATAGATTTATTTGGCTGGCTTACAATTAAATTTATAATTTGATTAGATTAATAATGTGGAAAACAAAGTACAAAAAGGATTCGATTCATTGTTTTTCAAGTATTAGCCAGCAAATCCTAATTTGATGAGCTTCAATTTCTTAATCTTTTCCTAAAAGGATTCCCATGATCATAGCCTTCTTACTAGCTTATAAATAACATGAGAGCCAGGTTGTTTTTTCAATCATAATTAGAGAATAGTAATTACTTGTTCATATCAGAAAGAATTAACCATGTATGCTCGTCGAGAAGCACTTGCTCCTAGAAGAAAAAGAATGACAATAGGGCAAAGACTAAGCAGCATCCATGCGCTCATCTTGTTATCCTTCCTGGGGATGACGTTTGTAGCAATGCTGTGTTTAATTTTCGGATTAATTCACTCTTTTATTTTCACCTAATGATGAGCAAGGTATCGGCTTTTGCATCAGCTAGGTGTAGTTTTGTTTTCAGTTTTCAGCTTTGGTTAGGTTTTGTTGTTGTTTTAGGTCCTGATTAACTTGTTGGAACTTTATATTGTTTCTCACTTTTTCAGCTTTGAGCTGGTTGGTTGTAAATTTGTTGGGTATGCCTTGGGCTGCCTCTTGGTTTGTTTGGTTTTAATAAATTTACTTTTTTTTTTAATTGCTTTTTAATTGAAAGACATTTGTGGTGTTTCTTGTCCTAAGGTTTGAGCCATTATTGTATAATAATGGAATTTTGTTATGTGATATAACTTGGGATAATATAAGTAGATTAATTACCCATAAATTTATATTCGGTAGAAATACTTGGTTCCATTATCCATAGGTTATAAATTCATAACTCCAACTTCACCGCTTAGGCTTTAGTTGATAAAGAAGAAGGAAAAAAAAAAAAAAATTCACCGCTTATACCCTTTCTCTTTTTTGTTACATTGGGAGGAAAGACAATCCTGTTTCGATGTTGGATGCCAAGCAAAGAGAGAAGGGCAGGGCCACAACCACTTGATAAACCCGCTTGAAAACACTTACGGCCCTTTGATAAAAGGTAGACATAGTGTTTTCTAGGGCCAAAAAAAATGATGATTTCGTTTTCTCTTTATTCCCTACAAATCCAAAACTTATTCTTATGGTGGAGACTGAGATCCTATGGGGTATGCAATGGAAAAAAGAATACATGGGAAGGAATACATGGAAAATCATATATCGTATTTGTCAATTGTAATTTCTAACAATAATAAAATGTGTGAAAAATATTTACAATTGGAAAAAAATTGGATTTATTTTACCAAAATATATACATTATCAAATAAAGAAAATTTTCTCCATATAGAATTCAGACTATTTAGTTCAATAGTGTAAACCTAGAGGTGGGTCAAGGCCATGAATATGTTAGAAGAAAACAATGTACAGAAATGACACTCAAAGAAATGTCATGTCGTGTACAGTGACAGAGCCACATGGGCACCAGAGGGGTCCCAGGCCCCTACTCAACTCTCAACTCTCTCTTTCTCTTAAATAATTTAATGTTGTGTGTATGAATTGAATTGAATATTGAAAAAGGATACAAGGGTTTTATATATACAACAATCAGAGCTTGATTTATGAAAGCTGTAATTTAAAACTTATTTCTTGATTTTTACTTTAGGCTATATTGGTCAAGGGGTCTGAAAATGATTTTCAAGATGCTCTCATTCCCTTTATTTTATATTTTACAAGAGGATCCCCCTAACCTCAATTCCTGGCTCCGCCACTAATCATGTAGAAGACATATTTTTTGTGACTCTAAGCTTGCATGTATTCAAACTTAAAATACTTTAGCTTTCTCCTATATCCCACCCAACTAACTAAAATAGTCCAACATTACATTCAGTTATTTTTTCTCTCTCTCTCTCTCTTTAAAGATAAACTATATTGCATTGAACAAACTTAAGTAACAATACAATCAAATTCTGAATCAAAACAAGAGGTTCCTCAAACCAAACCAAATCATGATCAGTATCGAGATCAAAACATACAAAACTATGAGCTACACTATTGCAAGTACGGGGCACATGAGACAACGAGTCTCAAGCACTTTGGAACCTATCTCAATCCTAACCTATCTCAATCCTCATAGCTTACACCAAGCAGAGATGAATTACTCAGTTTGAGCCCTAATGTTCCAATATGCCCCACCACTCAAGTCTCCAACTTCTCGTTGAGGAAAAATTAATTATATATGCGTTGACATGAGAGAAATGAAGTTGAAACAACACCTTTTCCCCCCTCCTCATTGTTACAATGTTGAGAAGTTATGATCACCTTTTGGTTCATTTGTTTAATAGGTATGCAGTGTGTTAAATTGAATGACTTAAGTCATAGTCATTTGAAAACAATGTATATGATATGAGTCATGCTAATCTTACCATAAAAGTCATGTGTCTAACTTTTTATTAATTTATGGAGTTTGTAAATAGGATCCCACTATAAATCTCACACTACGTAAAGACACAACGTTTCCTCTGTATACAACATATGTATTTAGTTGTGATATTGTGAATTTAGACCACACATGCTGAAGGAAGTTGAGGTTCCACTCCAAAATCAATTGGCAATGGGGGGAGTAATCCAACTCCTTATAAGCCCTTGCTAGGTTTCTCAACTTTCCAATGTGGAACTCTTTACCTTCACATTCTCATACACCCCCGCACGTGTGGCGATTTTTCAAGCTTATCACATGAACAACACATTTTGGGTGACGTGGAGCACGTGTGGCCGTTGGGTTTTCACACGTGGGCATCCCGCTTTGATACCATTAAGGAAGTTGAGGTTCCACCCCAAAACCAATTAGCAATGGGAGGAGTAGCCCAACTCCTTATAAGCCCTTACTAGATTTCTCAACTTTCCAATGTGGGACTCTTTACCTTCACATTCTCACACAAGCATCACAGGCTCACAGCCTCTCTTGCCGCATAAGCCTCAGTGTCACCAGCCACTAAAGCCTACGGAATGTGCACCACAGCAGTAGCCACAAACTGCCCCTTCTCATCACGCACCACCATTCCTACACCTCCAGGCTCTCCCACCGCCCCATCAAAATTTACCTTAACACATTCACTCGGAGGGGGCTGCCATGGAATATGGTTATCATGAATTTTCTCCTTCAACTTTCTCATGCAAGCTCAGGGACAGCCCTGCGTCCATGCTAACATGGGCTATAGCCCGGGTGACTTGATATTTTACTAGTCCAATATTAATACTTAACCCACCAAAGCACAACTCCCTACACCCCATCTCGGTGATCCCAGCTATAGAAAATCTCTTCTTCTTTTTTTTTTTCTTTAGTTAACTAATCCCACAAGTGTGGCAGTAAGTAAAATAAAAAGTAACTCCACATTAATATTTAATATGCAGCCCTTTTTAGAAAACACACTACTTTTTTTTGTCCAAAAAAAAAAACTACCTTTTCTAGCGTACATAAAACATCAATTCATTTTTTCTTATAAATTTTGGCTACCTTCTTTTCATTTTTATTTTCCAAGTTGGCTTGGCTAGATGGATTAAAATGGTTCAGTTTTTTTTTTCTTCTTT